ATTACTTCCCTCCACCTCTTATATGTGTAATCTGCATAATTTGTTGTAATATTGCATCCTATGTTCATGAATACGTATACCAAAAATCATAGAAAATTTAGCATAATTCAGCTTTGTCCTGAGATTTTCTAGTAGTCTCTTAAAATCTTCACCAATCTTATATAATTTGCATATGTTGCTGGAAAGAAAAATAAAGAACCGTCAGCAAACAGCAAATGTAACTGTTGAGCAAAAGTTTGTAATTTGCAAACCTCTAAATTCTCTTTAAACCTTAACATGAGTTACTATTGATTTTATTTGCATTAATAGCCTGACTCAAAAATGTCACTTTTTTGCATTAAACTTTGAGTTACAATGTATTATAATTGCATTATAAATTTGACTTAACCCTTTATAAAATAAGTAATTTAATTCAAATTCTTAAATCATCAGAATTTTTATGAATTCGAGTTTGACTTATCTTTTTCTTGTTAGAACTATTTTTTTTTTCTTTTTTTTCTTTCATTAATTTAAGTATAAATAATTTTATATATACACCAAATATACATAATTTCTAAAAAAATATAGTATTTTTATCATTATTTAAAAAATCTCAATTATTCTATTTTATTACTGTAGTACTTTTTCATAAAAAAACATTTGATTATTTATTATATATATATATCTATTTATAAAAATTTGTTTTGGAATGTTAGTCATTTAATTTATTTAAACATTATGTTATAGATACATATATATAAAAAGTTAACTATTCTTAAATTAGTATTAATTCATTTAATATATTTTATAATTAAATTTATAATAAATATTATTACTGATCATTTAAATTTATATTATTTTTAATAATATATACTATAATTTCTACTGCAAAAATGTTACCAATCAAGATTTTTATAAAAATACTAACTCATATTTATACAGCAAACTCACCCCATAAATCTACTGTTTTTATCATAAAATTTTACTACTAACTACAGCCAATTATAACATCAACTGTAAATCTATTTTAAAATTACATGTCACCAATCATTGAGGCGGGTCATTTTGTCTAATTCTCTTTATCGATTTAAACTCTCCATAAGCTGAGCCATTGATTAATACAAAGAAAGAAACTGTGGTAATACAAGTCATGAATCATGATGCATGTAATATATTGCTCACTAAAAATCATTTTTCTCATTACTTGTTTTACAAAGCTCCACTCGACCCTGTCGGATTTTGCTTAGTTTAATATAACTTTAATGAAAGATAAAATAGTGTAAAATATGATATAGTTTTAAAAATACAGCCAATAAATTAATCTACATCTGTGCGTTTTGAATTTTGTCACACCGATATAATAATGTCCGTTTGACAGAAGAATTATGCATCACGGGATTGATTTGCAATTTTTTAAAATCGGGGTTTATCGTGCAAAAATAAAAGAAAAGTTGATGTTTCTTTTTGCACAAACCCCTTTTATTTTATTTTTTTACTAAAACCAAACCTAATCTAATCGCATTTCTCTCTCAATCACGACGATCTCGATCTCTCTCGATCTCGTCGCCGAGAATCTCCTTCCCGGTTCTGGGTTTCCGATGGTTTCACTACTTGAATTCCCCTTTCGGTGATACAACCTTCGCAAAAGGTTTTCGTCGGTGGCCTAGCTTGGGAGACTCAAAAGTAAAACACTTCGTCGGCATTTCCAACAGTACCTTGACGCCGTCGTTCTGGGCTTCACTACTTGAATTCACCTTTCGGTGATAAGAACATCTTCCTCGATCCCACGGGATTTGTGAGTCTCTTCTCTTCTTCCTTTGTCTGCATTGAAGCTAAATGTTGCTTTAGAGATACAATTAAGATTGCTATTCTCATAGATCAGTGCCATTAGCGTGATAATCAGATACTTAATTTCCTTATTTTAAGTTCCTGAGTAGTTGCATCACGAGAAGCTTACATTCCATTGTCATATAACTTTGTTAATTAATCACAGGACAGAGAAAGTCAAGTGTTATTAGTGCCTTTTAGTTTTGACTATTTTCGAGTTTTTAGAATGACTCAGTCACCTGTTTCTATTTCGTATGGATGATTTTGGTGACTTTTAGAGATCCAGAAGCTGCTAGGAGAGATTCTGTTGCTACTGTTCATGCAAATTTTGCGAGAAAGTTGAGGCAAGAGAGAATTATTATTTTGTTTTTGTTTTGGTTTCAGTGGATCGTTTTGATTAGTTGGGTTTACTGACGCTAGATGAGCTTTGGAAGAATACGTAATTGATCAATATTTAAAATGGTTTTTGTTCTCTGAATTCTTGTAAGGCTTAACTGTTTCTCTGTGGCACTGGCTTGTTGTGATTTTGTATGGAATCATCTTGGTTGTGGTTTTGAATTCTGGTTTCTCTGTCACCTAGTTTAAATTAAATCTTCTTACTCATGTTTCAAGTTTCTCTTAATATATGGATTGTGTCTCTGGTCTGAATTTAAAGTGGATAAGAGATCAAAGACTGATATCTTATAATAATATTATGTTTTCATGTTCGTGATTCAAAGACGAATGGTGAATATTCCTCCTAGTTTATATATATATATATATATGTGAATCCATATTCTGATTTGTATATTTTCATATCACTCTAGATGAAGCGAAGCACGTGCTTGGTTTAGATTGTGATAGGAATCACTCTAATGGTAATCGTAGAATCTAGCTGATTCTAACTAGTAATGTTATAAACTGTTTTGGCTTAAAGATTCTGATTCGGTGATTCCTGTGTCATGAAAAAGTGGAAACTTTTTCTTGGATTGTTGTTGCTGATGAAATATATTTAGTATCCAGCTGATGAAACGTATCTGTAGGAAAATAATTTATATGAAGCAGAGCATGTTCTTAAATGTTTTATCTTTAGTTGCTCCAATTCTGCTTTGATTATAATGAAAATCGGTTCTTGTGCAGATGCTCTCTGCACCACCAAGTGAAGAAACGGTTGTGGCTTTGGCTACACGAGGTATGTGTTTTTCTGTGTTCAAAATTTACTTCTATAAGCAGATAATATGTTCTAGCTACAATACATTTTTTCTGAGCATTGTGATTGTATCTGTATGTTTAGTTGCCACAGGTTTGTGCATTATACGCGAGCCTAACAATATCATGAATTTCAATTTCGTTAAATCTCATTGAGCCTAGGTTGCTTCCTTTTAATTGGACTGTAGGAACTTAAGCGTACAATCTGGTGGCAAAGACGGTGTCCTTCGCATGATGGATGTGTTTGACTTGTGAAGTTGCTAGATTATAATGCATGATGATCACTGAGAAACCTTTGGGAGAGGAGTCGATCCGGCAGGATCTGGAGACTTTAACCGTTTCAAAGCGGCTCGTGAAAAGTGTTAGCCGGAAGTTAAAGAAGAAGATTTACAAAACCGAGGTGGAAGATGAAGAGGACGAAAGAGGAGCGGTGAATTGTCTAAACATCAGTTGCAAAGTTGCTGACACAGGCGAGGATTTTGAGGATCCGAGCAATAAGAGATGGTCCAGTGCTAGTGAGGAAGGTAAAGGATTAACGACGACCATCTGTGGAACGGAAGAAACTAGGTTGGATTGCTTTTCTCATGGTGTGAAAGAAATGTTTTGGAAGAAGAACAACAGAAAATACATGGAAATAGAGGAAAACCGAAAGCAGCACGTGTTCCTCCCCGACGATATTCTTGAAATGTGCTTAATGAGACTTCCTTTGACCAGCCTATTGAATGCACAGCTTGTCTGCAAGAAATGGCAGTACATGGCCACCACGCAGCGGTTCCTTCAGATGAGACGAGAAGGCTCTTTTCAGTCCCCATGGCTATTTCTGTTTGCTGCTGTCAAAGATGGATGCTCCTCTGGTGAAATCCATGGGTACGATGTGTCTCAAGACAATTGGCATAAGGTTGAATCCGATGTACTTAAAGGGAGGTTTATGTACTCAGTGACGAGCATCCACGAGGAGGTCTTTGTAGTCGGAGGTCGTTCTATGGAGAGAAACTCTCTCAAGACACACAGAGGGATATTGGTTTTTAGCCCTTTAACTAAATCATGGCGTAAAATCGGGTCTATGAGACATGCGAGATCACTTCCCATTGTTGGTTCCTCTGAAGTAACTTCAGAACTCTCGACGATACAGAGTCAACAGAGTCGCCAACGCTTTCACCGGTCAAGAACCAGCGGAGAATCAGACGTTTATGAAGACCCTCACAGGTTATCTGTAAGACGCCAGGCTGATCAAAACGGAACTAAATCTCACAGATCAACAAGACTAAAGCTTGATCGTGATCGTGATCGGGCAAAGCGAAACAATACCAAGAGATTTGTGCTCATTGCCATCGGGGGCACTGGATTGTTCGAAGAGCCACTTGATTCAGGCGAAATATACGACTCAGCGACAAACACATGGTCAGAGATTCAGAGACTCCCGATGGATTTCGGAGTTGTATGTTGTGGGATCATATGCAATGGGATCTTCTACGCTTACTCTGAGAATGATAGGCTTTCAGGTTATGACATAGAGAGAGGCTTCTGGATTGCGATCCAAACATCGCCCATACCTCCTAGGGTTCATGAGTTCTACCCTAAACTCGTCTCCTGCAACCACAGGTTGTTCATGGTCTCGGTTTCATGGTGCGATGAAGGAGATGGTCAGATTGGGAGGAGAAACAAAGCGGTGAGAAAGCTTTGGGAGTTGGATCTTGTGTACCTGACATGGACCGAGGTTTCAGTACACCCGGACGCACCAATGGATTGGAACGCCACGTATGTCTCAGACCGGAACATACTAATGGGAGTTGAGATGTTCAAGATCTTTGGTCAGGTGTTAGGTTTCTTCACTGTCTGCGATGTGTCGACAGAAGAAGGCTCTTGGAGACATGTTTCGAGGAATCGCAGGAGTCAGAAACTCGATCTATCTTGTATGAACAAGACCATTGCATTGCTTCATCTCTGATCCTTTTTCTTTTAAACTTATTGTAATAACTTTCAGGACTTATTAATTGATTATTTCATGTAAAGGAAAGGCGATGTGCTAGTCCTGTGAGATTGAAATGAAATGTAATGTTTGTATTTTTTGTTTTACTGATTTTCTACCATTCTCATTTTCACCAAGGAATATATTCTTGTAAGAGATTAACAAGAAATTGAGATTTAGATGAAAGCAAGAAAAATTGGATAATCTGACCTTCATTATAAAGAGAAAGCATCCAAACAAAAGTAAGATGAGCAAATCTAAGGGAGAGACATTAGCATTCAAGAGTCTATTTGTCCAAAGATAAACCTAATAAACAATGTGTATAAACTGCTGATGATTGTAATTTCAAATTTCATGAGAATAGATAGTTCCTACAATATGTTCAATGACAATGCACAATGCACAATGCTCATGTGCCCACCAGCATCATCAGCTGCATATCAATCACGCATAAACTTGACATCAACAAGAACGGTTTTTGGATAGAAAGAAGTTTCTTGTAGATCTTTACTACTTTGTTGGGTTATATAGGTGAATCTGTAAAACTCACAAAAAGTTTCTTGAGTATTGCTGAATTTTCAATCTGTAAAACTCACTCCTATCAGTCTGGTACACACTTCTGGCTCGATGATAATCAACTAGGGCACATTGGTATGGTTGACTCTCTAGCTACGTTGAAACAAGAAAGTCCTACAAACAAAAAAAGCTGAGTTTACCATATATAGTCCCACAATGTCGTTAGCCAAATCAAGAAACAGATTTGTACTTAGATTAGGTTTTTCAAATTTTGGTAGCCTGCAACAAATCTCAAGAAGACACTAAGGTTTACTAGTTCCCACGTTAAACAATCTGTATAATATGCAAGGCCTAACTGCAATAATCATAAGAAAAGATAAAATGAGACTGAGATCAAAGCAATAAAAGTCGAATAATTTGGCTATCAAACATGTAGGAATCATCCATATGGTTAAAGAATCCAAATGAAAGTAAGATAATTAAGCACATTACAAAGACATTATCATCTGATTGTCTATGTGTCTTAAGTTAAACCTAAAAAGCCTTTTATCTAATAAATGCTAAGCCTAAAAATTGTACTTTTCCTGAGAATAGATAATTCCTACACTGATTTTCAATGACAATGCTCATGTCAATAGATAACAATTTGACATCTGGGAGAAAGCTTTGTGGATGTAAGCAGCTTCTTGTAGCTCTTTGCTTCTTATTTTTTCGTATGAAAATCTTAGAAACTCAGATTCAGATTCTTCAGTACTGCTGAATTCTCAAGAAAGTAACTAGTTTAATCCCAGTTTTCTCCTTCATCATCAGTTTGTTAATCTTAACATACTTTAAAGTTGATGATAAACACTGAGGCACTTTGGTAAAGACGAATTGCTTTGGCTTCGCTGAAACAAACAACTGCTTTCGCTTCCTTGAAATACAAATATCCTGCAAAAAAAAAAAAAAACAAAAAAAAAGATTACCTAAGTTTACAATTCATCCAATCAAGATTTAAGATCTTAGGAAGATTTTTAGGACAATCATTTAAATGGCTTACCATGGTAAGATTTTTTAGAATAGGAGAGCCTGAGATGAGCTTCTCCAAAATCAAAAGACCATCATAAGTAAGGAAAGAAAGGTCTTGTAGATACATGATCTTGAGACAAGGTAAAGAAATTAAACACTAAACTTGGGGTCTTCAAGACCTACGTTTACGAGCCTCAAAGACACCAGTGTCTTGCTCACATAAACATACGTAGGTATGAGATATGTAGCATGTGGAGACGTTTCGTTTACAATATCTAGATGTTGAACTCCTCGATGAACCACATCGTCTATCCACTCCTTGACTCTTTTGTCACAGTTAACATACTTAATCTTCTTCTTTTTTGGAGAAGAGTCATCGTCCTCTACCTCTTTAATTATCTTATAACGGTCATACTTCATCTTGAACTTTTGTATGCAACATCCGCGGTTAAACTCCAGATATATATCCATTAAACTCACCAATGCTTCTCCACAAGGAAGGAAGTCAATGGCGTTTAAGTCCAATACTAAAACCTTTAGCCAGAGACATTCCCATCTCTTCGATAAAACAGCTGTCTTAACGGAATCTTTGGTCGGAAGGTGTGAGAGTATTTCAACTAGCAAAGATTCAAGCAACTCGCTGATCCTATCGCAACCCATCCTTACAACATGCATCAAAAAACGTGAACGGATCCTAGGGCTTCTCAATTTTGGCACAAAAACTAGGGCTCAAGGCAAGATTAAACGTAGAAATCTAGAGAGGAATTTGAATCTAAAAAAAGCTAACCCTTCGATTTGAATTGCGAGATTAAACGTTGAGTTTCTGAACTATATCCCAAAATCTAGGGTTTAAGTCGATGAAACAAAGAAATACAAAGCCACGAGACAAAGTTTAGATTTCTCTTTGTCAAACATAAAACATAGGGGTTGTGGACGGGAGCTTGGGCTTTTATTCGGCCCAAAAATGCCATGAGAAATAACAACGATCTGTACCACCCAAACGTGAAACGAAAGCGCTTCAGAGACTGAGACTTCACACGAAACTTTTGGATTATACAATGGAGTGATCAAATAGAGAGCATGGACAGAGCTATACGCATGTTATGACGAGACGGATAGTGATCTGAGTAGAGCTAAAGAGAAGACGAAAGTTTGCGATTAATCAAGAAGGATTCAGAAACATCTTTGTAAGAAGCCTCAAGCCCTTTGTCAATAAAAATAAAAAACATATTTGTAAGAGGTTGGAATATAAACACATATCGAGTTAGTCACTCACAGAAAGAAACTTCCTTCAAATTTTGATCTTTGTCATCAATAAACTTCCTTCAAATTTTAGCATTAATAAATTGTATATTTATGCAGCATCGTTCTCCTTCGCCTTCGATAACCCCTTCACCACGCAACTTAGTTCGTCGAAGGCTTCAACGTCGTCCCACCAAGACACTGATCTCGGCTCCTTCTCCTTCGCCTTCAATATCCCCTTGACCATGAAACTTGATGCAGCATCGTTCTCCTTCGCCTTCGGTAACCTCTTCACCACGCAACTTAGTTCGTTGAAGGCTTCATTGTCGTCCCACCAAGACACTGATCTCGGCTTCTTCTCCTTCGGCTCTATGGTTTCCTCCTCCTTCTCGTTGTCGATGATGATTCGATCAGTATCGTACGGTTGTGATCCCAAGGAGTTGAATGTCTGAGGAACGAGGTAGCGATTGGTGAGTCCGATCTGCGACGACTCTTGTTTCTCTTTCGTCATTTTTCGTCTCGTACCGATTATTGAGCCAAAGATGAATTTAGAAAGAGATTTGGAGATAAATAAAAAGGAATTGAGAGAGACTATGAATAAAGGCTAAGCTTTTGGTGGTTTAATTAAAGCGTATGCGCTTTTTAGTTTATATAAAAAAAAGATTTTGGAGTGAATTGTTTTCCCAAATATGAAAAACGAAATTGTTATCCCAAATAAGGTAATAAAGTAAATTGTTTTCAAAGATAAGTAAAGAAGTAAATTGTTTTCTCAAATTGAAAAAAAAGGAAACTTCTTTACTGTACGAAGGTTTTAACCATTGACTTTGTCTACTTTATAGACAAGGTAAGTAAATAAATACATTATATACAAAAACAATTATTGAAAGCAATGCAAAAGGATCATCAAAGACATCCAAGAAAAAGTGACTGAAATCAAAGCAATAAAAGTTGAATAATCACCAGGCCGCCTTTCTAAAGACGATAATCTTTGGCTACTTTGAAACAGAAACGTCATAAAGAAACCTAAGTATACAGCATCATAAAATCAAATTCTAATAGATCTTATACAGATTTTCTACATAAATCATATGATAACAAAAGATAATCACTTTTGTAATAAATGTTTGCATCTTATTGAGACCCCGTAGTAGTATACCAACAAACTTGGGATCATCAGCCCTATACGTTTACCATACATGAAGACGAAATTATCATCGAATAGTCTATGTGTCTCAAGTTAAACCTGAAAAGCCTTTTATCAATAAAATGCTATATGGGAGAAAGGTAATTAATACACTGATTTCCAATGACAATGGCCAGGTCAATAGAAAACAATTTGACATTTGGGAGAAAGCTTTGTGGACGTAAGAAGCTTCTTGTAGTTGTAGCTCTCTGCCTTTTGATTGGTCGTATGAGAATTTTTGCCACTCAGAGTCAGTTTCTTGAGGACTGCTGAATTCTCAAGAAAATAATTCACTAGTTTATTCCCAGTTTCCGTCGCCATAAGCTGTTTGTTAATCTTAATACAGTTCAGAGTCGATGATAAACACACATTGGTCCAAAAAGAATTGACCCCCCGGAAATAAAATCTGCGACACATATGTACTAAATTCCTGCAAAAAAAAAAAAAAAAAAACATCCAGATCTTACAAATTATCAAATAAAACTTTAAGATCTGAGGCAGAACTTTAGATAATCATGAAAAGAGCTTACCATGGTAATGTTTTCTAGAACAGGAGAGCCTGCGATGAGCTTCTCTAATAAAAAAACCATCACCACTCATAAAGTCCATCATATATAAATACTAGTTGGTGATCCGCGTTACGCGGGGTGATGTCAATCATTTTTTTATGTATTTGTGTATATTATGTTTATTGTATCGTATATTTGTAAGAATTTTAAATGAATTTCTATTTTTTATATGTAACCTTTTTGAATTTTCTATATTTTTCAAATTTCTAGTTGGTGATATGCATTACAAATGGGTTTAATAATTATTATATATATATATATTTAATTGTATTTATTTTATCATATAACTCCAGATATTTTATGATTTGTTATTTTTTTCTCACTGTATCCATCTTGAATTTCTCATCTTATCTTAATTTTGATCAAATAAAATACTATCTATTCAAGATTATTTGGTTTATTCAAACAGATACAAAACATATATAATGTTAGATATCCTAATTACCTATTTAAGAATTAAAAATTAAAAATATATATATATATATATATTTTTTTAAAAAAATTCATCGACTTTAGAGAATTTTCTCAAAATATTTGTTTTGAAGTTGACTTTCATCTAATTTTTTGAGAGTTTGTAAATAGATTTAGATAATACAATTTCTCGAATCTGTCTCGTTACCCAAATTTTCTGTTCTATTTTTATTGGATTTTTTTTGGGTATTTTTTTTTCCATCTCTCTAATTATCAGTTTCCATCATACACTCATAAATATCTGCTTTGAATATTGAAATTCCCATGCTAATGTATATCAGTTTTTTACTTTATTATTTATTATTCTGTTCAGTTTTTATTTTCTGACAACACATTATAATTGTCTCTTAATAATTGCTATTTTATATTAAATATTACGATCAATTTGTGTATTATAATTGTTATAATGTTTGTTAGTTTATATATTAAATGTTAATGTTAATTTGTGTTTGAAAAGAATTTAAATGAAAAAAAATAATAATTTTGTTGCTGAGATGAGAGCACCAGAACTTTATATATATTACCATCCGTGAAGTAATTGTCTTGTAGATACATGATCTTGAGACAAGGTAGAGAAACGAGAAACTTAGGGTTTTCAAGGCCTACAAGTACGAGCTTTAAGGACACCAATGGCTTGCTCACATAACTACAGTCAGGCATAATATCCATACCATGTGGACACGCACTGTTTTCAACACCTAGGTGTTGAACTCAACGATGAACCACTACGGATACCCACTTCATTACTTCGATATACATCGTTTTTGTTAAACGGTGATACTCTATCTTGAACATTTGTAAGCAAGATCCACGGTTAGAATCCAGAAATCTATCCATAAAACTCACCAAGGCTCCATAAGGAAAGTCTATGGCGTTTAAGTCCAATTCGGAAACCTTTAACCAGACAAATTCCCATCTCTTCGATAAACACTTGTCTTAACGGAATCTTTAATCGGAAGGTAGGACCGGCCCTGAGATTTTAGGGCTCGAAACAAAATAAGGCTAATATTATATATTATGAGAATTTAATTAAAAATTATAATATAAAAAATGCTAAGCAAATTCCTTATAGAGTTCAAGAGATCGAGAGAGGAATTTGAATCTAAAGACGCGATTTGAATTGCGAGAGATAACGCTATCCTAGGGCGTTGAGTTTCTCAAAATCGATGGAACGTAAAAGGCTAGAAGACAAAGTTTAGGTTTTATTTATCAAAATAATCTAAACTTTTGGGAGAGAGGTTGGGCGTGTTTTTGCCCAAAAGGCCACGAGAAATAACGAAACCGAGTTATTTTGTCACTAACGGTAAACTTAATGTGAACTTGTGTGCGCTCATTAGATTATTTAGTTTGCTAAGAACTCGACAGAAACTTGCATAGTTGTGGGGAGAATGAACACACATCTAAAAGGCCTATCTCTCATTAATTATAGTCTATCAAAAATAAAATAAATTAAAGTAACTTCTTCAAATAAAAAGAATATATTTAAAGATAATAGTAAAGTTTTAAAGAATAAGAAAAATAAGAAGATTTCCTCAACGAAAAAGAAGAAATGTTCATAAAAAAAAAGAAAGGGAGATAAAAGGAACCTACCTCCACTTTTTATAAATAGAAAACTCCTCATAACTTGAAAATAAATCTAAAAGACATATATGAACTAGACGCAAGAACTACAAATGGCTTGATCCTATGGAAAATGGTATGGAGGCAGCCTTTCTCAAGGTCCAGCTATAACTCAGAAACAATCTGAAAATCCTAAGAGAGCAGCAAGAGAAGACCTAATTTACTAAAAGACTTCTGTTCGAATCTTGAGAGTTTTTACTTTTACCTCAGCTGAATATTCCTGTTCACGCCTTCTGTTGTAATCTCTAAATTCCAAATTAATAAAAGATCTTATTCTCTAAATCCCCCAACCGTTATTTACTTATTCGATTGGGTGAATCTCTGGTTCAACAATTGATGTCATCTGAGAGGAATAGAGAATAGATTCTTAAAAGCTAAGGTAAGAGAGGACTGACAACATCGACACCAAAACACACAATCTGCAACCTGAAACCCCGAAAAAATAATGGGCGCAAAGGTTATGCAAGATGAACTCCAGAACGACCAGAAAGATTCAGGTCGCATTCAAGTATCTATGGAAAGATCTTTCTTTAGAGAATCTACAAAAATACCTCGTCAATTTCACTTTGGCGAGTTCACCTTGCCGAGTTTACCTCGTCGACTTTGGCATGCTGTGAACAAATTGTCAAATTCACCTCACCGACTTCATCTCATCGACTTTACCTCGCCAAGTTCACCTCGTCAACTTCAGCACACTATGAACAGCTCGTCGACTTCACCTTGGCAAACTTACCTCGGCAAATTCACCTAGGCATGCCTAGGTCGTCAAAAAAAAAAGAAGAGAAACGGTGACTCACCAAACGAGCTCCCAAGCTCTGTTAAGAAAAATTTATTCTCCAAAGCTGTAGAATCAGCATAATGTCAACATTCTGGCCAAACTATTGACTGAAACATGAATAAATGTATGGATAAATTGTGGCTGATCACCACCTCCTAAAGATTTCGTGTCATTGCGATACCTTTGAAATTTAAGGGATAAAGTCGAGGAAGAAACTTGCACAACTTTACAAGAGACATTACAAGATCAGAAATTTATAATGCAGTCTGCGCCATTGATGTTGATAAAGCCCCAGATCTGATGGATTAACTGCTCGCTTGTACAAAAATGCTGAGATATAATAGACAACGATGTTACAAAAGTGGTTCTTCTTTTCTTTGCATTGTCAACTTTGAAAAAGGGATTAATCAGACTAATATATGCATGATATATAAGACCAAATCCCTGCTAATTCTTTCTGTTTACAGATCTATTGCTTTGTGCAATATATTTTATAAAATTATATCTAGCTAACATCCTTGATACAAGATTAAAATGTTTTTTTTAGAAAAAAATTGTGTCTAATTTACAAGCTGCCTTCAATTCGGGTCGCCTGATCTATGACAATGCATTCTTTCAAAAGTGATAAGAGAGAATTTCACAAATATACATGGCTATCAAAATAGATATGTCCAAAGCATATGGTAGGGTTAAGGGGAATTTCCTTGAAGCAATTATGCGAGCCTTTGGTTTCACTAACAGATGGATCTAATGGATCAGTATTTTCAATACCTCTCACACTCACTCAAAAACACTATATCTACATATGTCAATTGCATGATAAACCATGATGAAATGAAAATGCGTTGTTTTCTTCGGAATTTAAAAATCACGAATATCCAGAATATTCTTCAAACCTCAATTTTATTTTATTTATTTATTTATTTTTAATCAGATTTTTAGTTAAACCTCAGATTTTAGTTAAACCTCAGATGTTTTTTTTAACCTCAGATTTTTTTAGTTATACCTCAGAAGAAGGTCATATTTTTTTAGTTACACCTCAGATTTTTTTTTTTTCTTAAGTCTAGCTATAATTCAGAAACAATCTGAAAATCCTAAGAGAGAGCAGCAAGAGGAGACCTAATTTACTAAAAGACTTCTGTTCTAATCTTGAGAGTTTTTACTTTTACCTTGGCTGAATATTCCTGTTCACGCCTTCTATTGTAATCTCTAAACCCCAAGCTAATAAAAATCTTATTTTCTAAATTCTCAAACCATTATTTATTTATTCGATTTAGTTAAACCTCAGATTTGATTGGCAAGAAGCTGATGAGAAAGCACCCAATCCCATAAATCGTACGAAGCTATGATTTTATGTTAGAAAATCACTAGCAAAGTAGAGTTTATTTGAGATGTATAGTATAACTCATATGTGCATTTATTATGGCATGCATGAGTTTGGAAAATTCAGTTGTTAAAGTTCAAGCGTTAGATATAAAGTAATTTATACAATTGGCACAACAGTTAAAAAAGTGTGTGTTTTTGGAAACTTATGATTGGCACAACAAAAAAAAAAACAACGTATATAATGAGAAAAAATTAGAAAGTCTTATTATTTAAATAAAGAATCACTAATTCAAACAAATTATATATATATATATATATGAATTAAATAATATATTAGAACATCTGAATATAAACCTATGCGTATACTTAATCATTTCTTATAATAAAAATCATGCTTTCAATAGGTAAAAAATTATTTTGTGAATATTATTGTTAGATTTAGAGAGTTTTAGTGTTTGTGTGATATACAAGTGTTGATCAGATCATGTTTTTTTTTAATCTCATTTGAATTGATTGTTATTTTGGTTTTTATTATTAGACTACGTAAATACCCCGCTTCGCAGCGGGAATATTTTTGTTTCTATTGATTTTATATAAATTTTGTTTACAACTTTCAATCTGATATGAAGATCCATTAAAGCAACAAAAAATAGTTTTAGATAATTAGTTAATTTTCTTGTCAGTTTATATGAAAATGCATTTTTCTGCATAATTTAAAAAAATGTAAAAAGTTTCAAAAAAGTATTTAAAACAGTTTCTAGTGGGATGGTTTATTTCCTTTATCAGTTTCCCATCAATAATCTATCTTTTAAAATTTACAAGATTTATACCAGATAAATCGATTTCGTATTCAAATGTATGTCTTTAGATGAAATGAAAATCCATGTAAGC